ATTATTTTTGGCTAAATATGCTTTTAAATAAAGCATATTCTTAAATTTTAACGAGGCAGTTTAAATAATTTTGCAAATGGTACTGCACACTTTTGTCTATTTCTCGCTCGATGATCGGTGGAGAAATGAGCTCCGCAGACAAATATGATTGAATTTGGAATTATGCTACGGCGCATCCTAATAAAGCGAAGGGGCATATCTCCAACTTCTTGAAACGAACAGTACTTATGTATCTATTTACAGGTAGGTTATTGTCGATCCTAACAGATTGATTTTACGTGACTGTTATCGTTGGCAATTTTATCGATTTTAAACGTCTGTTTTTTATAATTATAATATTTTTATGCCCCATATACCCATAGGTTTTATTGAAGCTTACAAGTAGTGCCAAATTATTCTCATCAAAGCATAATTTCAAATCTTTTTGAAAGCTATATTTCATCAAAGCATTACAAAAAGATTCTGATTACAACACTGAAATTGATTGCAATTGTACCTTTGGGTTTTTAGATTTGCACAGTTGTGATGACCTAAAGAAATAATTTCCATTCTTATTGTACCTACTATCCTGAAAATTACTATCGCAATACAAAATATTTTACTTTTCTACAGGTATATCAAATTGTTTCAAAATACACTAGAGTAATTTAAATATAATGTAAAAATTCATTTTCAATTTTCCAACCAGTACAAAGTACCTCAAGTTAATGCGGGAAAATATTTGTTGCTGTTGTCATACCCCCGCCGGGAATCGAACCCGGAACCTTTGGCGTAACGCACCTTATAAATAGCATTGGTGCATAAAGCCAAAGTTCTCGGGTTCGATTCCCGGCGGGCGTGTGACAACAGCAACAAAAATTTTCCCTTATTTACCTGAGGAGTTTGTAGTGGATGGAAAATTGAAGATAAATTTTCACATTAATATTTCATATTAACCACTATTAATAATTAAAAATATCACATTATATTTAGGTTCAAGTTAAGAAAAATTTCTGCTTTACCGTCATATTTTGGTTTCGAAGACATCGCTTATTCATTTATTACCGTTGTTCATCCTGCCGCTAACCTTTACAATATTAGATGTTAGGTAACATTAGTAAGTACTTCGTTCGTGTTGTCTTTTCCTACCATAACTTTATGATCATAACCTAACAGCTATTTTGCTGTTTTCCGTAATAAATACATGAGCCGCAATGAGTAGAAATAAAAACAAAACGGGAATTGAAATTGCAATTAGAACTAGATCTTGGATTGGAATTGGAAGTAAGGATTTAGTTCAGTAACCATTGAAAATGCACTGAGGCCGAACTATACTTTTATAAATAATGCATTTCAAAAACCCAAAACGCTAGCATCAGACGTGAACGAGGTAAACGTCAAGGTCAATGATGTAATCGTTTTTTCCTCCTGTAACGTTTAGGTGTTATTATTATGGTTATTAGTTATTGTAAAAGATGTTAAAGAAGATTGAATAAACTTCTTAGAAGAGTATGAAGGGAATCGGCAATTTGTTATTTGCAAAATTTCAACCAGTAATTGATGCATAAATATGAAGTATCATTTGTATTACTACAGTACCAGTTTTACATTTTTTGTCATGATACTATACTAAGAAAATAAAATGACTCTTCTTTAATTAAACTGTCAATAATACTGCGTTCAAAATAAATAAGCTATTCTTAAGAAGTGAATCAATAATAATTCGAGAGAGCATAAAGGTATATAAAATAGCTAACTAAAATTAATAGTTCAAACAACAGAACAATATTAGTCCAGTATTTTCCGAATTTTGGGTAGTAATTAGGGAACGGGCAAGGTTCAGTAATTCTTGGTGATGGAAATTATTACATTCAAAATAACCCTAAAAATCGAAATGATAATTAATAAAGAATACTGTTTTTCCATCAAAAGTTTTGGAATCCTGTATCAATTCATCCTCATAAGGTCGTCAGTCCAAAGACTGGTTGGGCACACACCTTCACTCTTTCCTATCCTGAGCTAATCTTCGCATTTCCCTAAAACTAGAACAACTCATACCCTTAACTATTTGCGAGCAGTAATCTAATCTAGGTCTACCTACGTCTACCCTCCT